TATGTGTATATATATATATATATGTGTATATATATATATATGTGTATATATATATATATGTGTATATATATATATATGTGTATATATATATATATGTGTATATATACATATATATATATATATATATATATATATATATATATATATATATATATATATATATATATATATATATATATATATATATATATATATATATATATATATATATATATATATATATATATATATATATATATATATATATGTATACATATATATATATATATATATATATATATATATATATATATATATATATATATATATATATATATATATATATATATATATATATATATATATATATATATATATATATATATATATATATATATATATATATATAGACAAGTATCGAGTTTGGAATCATATATGAGTAGAGTGCTCAATACCGTAGTAGAGCTAATACGATTAGAAGACAAACTTGAATTACTTCATATGAACTTTATTTCACTACAAATTTGTTTCGTATGACAAGACGAGTCTTGCCATACGAAACAAATTTGTAGTGAAATAAAGTAATATGAAGTAAGTCAAGTTTGTCTTCTAATCTTATATATATATACATATATATATATATATATATATATATATATATATATATATATATATATATATATATATATATATATATATATATATATATATAACGATATATATATATATATATATATATATATATAACGATAAAGACTATAAAACACGATCCAAAGCAGTGCGCTCCAAAGCCAAAGGCCATGGCGTGTTTCAAATTTGAATCAGTACTATTCTTAATACAGCGTCTCGGGTTACACTTTCACATCTGGAAATCTTTCTTCCCGTCCGGCGGCACTTTTGTTATTTTTTTTAACATGATCTTGTGAAATGCTGCCTTGTTCAAGCAATTAATCTTGTAGACAACTTGTTTTGCAAGGTAAACAGCACGCGAAAAGTTGTCGTAGAAATCAACATATTTCGGCGATTTAGCCTCATCAAATTCTATTCAGATTTCTTTCGGATGTTACGAAAAACATGTAGATTATCCAAAAATAAAAAACTTCGACTATTTTTAATATTTCAAGAAAATATCAACAAAATGTCCATTCAAAATTTTCGCTCACTCATTAGGAAAATATATATGACAGGCATGGTTGGCCGCGCGCTCGCCCAATGTTTTGCACCCCCTGCAACATGACGGAAACCACCTTGAAAGGGCCTGTTTAAAGAATATACATGCAGTAACATTCTCTAAAGTTTTAATCATAGTTACATTTAGCTATAAATTTACTATAATATTTACAGTATATGCATCAGTTCTCATGGGCAACTCGTCGCTGATAAACAATGCACTAAATTTAATGGAGCTATACTACTATATATATTCGTTCCAGCCGTCGACTCTTATAAACGTTTCAATCAGTATTTTTTGTATGCGTACAAAAGTCAATACCATCGAATCCTTAGTATAATCCTTATTAATACTTTGAAGCAACGTCGAGCCGTGATTTTGTAGTCAAATTAAATAATCACGCAATGCCTGAATGGTACATTTGGAAGTCGAAGTACAAGTATAGAACTACCTGGCGTCAGACAAAGAAGTTAAATATATGCATGAATTCAACACTAAACGAATGTGAATACAATCATCAATAATATAAATGTTGTTATGGTGAGCTCTATATCATAATGACTCGTTTTACCAACGTATAAGTATATATAGCAAGGGACGTTTCCGAAATTATTGAGCATTTTACGATCAAATCTATATTCGCGTTCGGAACTCATGCTTGCGAGGATTTTGAAAATGAATGAATTATGATCTATGAATTTATATGTTTACAGTCTGGTACCTGCTATTCTATTGTTCTAATATAACATTGGACAAAAAGTATATACTCCGTATTAAATATGCCTTTAACAGGACAATGTTTGTTTCACGTCCAACTTGTTGTCATTTTGCAGTGCTGCATGTTTATGAAATTTTGCAGTTATACAATTTCAGGAGCTGTACGGCTTTCCTAAAAGTGATCTACTCAGAGACCATTATTAATTCACTATTATTCAATTGATCGTTAAAATTGACAAACATAGTGATTAGTGGGCAAGCATTTTCTGTGGCACTTTCAATATATATTGTGCGCGATGTTGGACATTTTAGTTTTAACGAGAATATTTTATGTATTAAATTCTGAAAGAAGGATAAAACTCGCCAACAGTCTCGTTTGGCAAACGTTATATGTGGGTAATGCGGTGGTTTCAATCTCATAAAACAAGGTTTTTGAAATAAACGTACCGCAGAGGCTTTGTGTCACTTAATTTACACCCGGAAAATGTAAGGCATTTAGCTGTCGTTTAAAAACCCGAATGCCCTGCCCAGGCAAATTAACGGATTTTTCGCAACGATCTCATGCTGTGGCTTAATGATCAGCAGATCTCAGCGTTATTTAACATTCTACTTTAACAGGCAATCTATACATAAATACAAGAAATGTGAACTATTTGTTATTTAAACTAAAAAAACTATATATGTGTAGTATATAGCATAACCAAATCAAAATGAACGCAAAATGTCAAGATTATAAGCTCTGTTTGGGATTCCATTTTAAAATTACTAGGTTCTGTTAATATATGTTAACCTTTTCTTTATAAATATAATTCTAACTTTTTTTATTGATCTTAATGTCATCTTGCAGACAAACACTCCGCTTTTACCGATGGATTGGACGATTGCTATTGAATGCCGACCAGAAAGTTATAAAGCCTCCGAAAGCTCACGGAAGTTCCTTGCTATATATATGTATTGAAAAACATTTATATTCTTTGAACTATTTAAAGCTTTATTTAAACGCTAAATATTAAAATTGTAAACGTTTGAGAAATATTTAACTCATATTCCACGTGTAAATGTTACTTTATTGTAGGCCTATTATTGAATAATTTAAAAGAGTAAATTTAGTTTAGTATGGTGAAGTTTCTTATTTAAATCTGTGTGTACTTATATGTATGCATATTAGATTATTTATTGCAGATGTTTTAGCTTTATTTAAATTTACTTTAATTAAAGTGTCATTAAATTTTAAATCAATTTAAGGTGTGATATTGCCATTAAATGTCATTCACTATCTTAATGGTCGTTTTAATATACATTATTTATTATAGATATAAAATACAGTATATAAAAGGTTAAAAAAACTTAACTGAAAACACTTTTTTACAGTTGCATTTCAAACTTGGGCTTATGTAGACTGTCCATTTGGGGCACACATATGGGCAACCTCGTTCCCAGGCTCTTTGCTCTTGGGAAGCAAAGACCCTGGTCGGAGCTGGTCACGTGACCCATTGAAAATTGATAGCCCAAGAGGGGGATGGAAAAGTCTCATATTACATGTTTCCACTTCCGCACTTCGATTGCAAGGAGTGGCCGTTCTGTACAATCATTAATTCATCTTCAAGAATCATATATCCCTCAAACTACTTGCTAAATTGGTTTCTGTTTGCTTTTAAATTATACAAACATGCTAAAATGCAGATTCTTATAGCAACAGAAAATTCAGGAAATCAAGCAACGAGAACGTATGACTGTACGCTTTGAAATATTTTTATTTTCTCGGGGTTCGCCGGTTAGGGCGTAGTTTTATTTCACGCATACGTTTCTGTTCTGGCTCTGATATTTATAATATGCTTATAATATGCCAATGAATTGTTCTGATATGGACATGGTATAAATTTTGTTAAACAGATGTCTCAAAAGCGACTGTTTATAGGTCGTAGGATTAGCGCCTTGCCGGTCTTAAACGTGACACATTTGGACACAAGCCAAATACACATTGAATGTCCATTCTATTGATTCTAAAACTGTTTATAGACATATTGCTCTAGATTTTTTTACTAAGGTTATCATCGTTTATATTAAACACCAGGAAGACAAAATATAACGTACAAAATTGTTCGAAATCGACAGTGCACAGCTGACATACGACAATTCAAAACTGCATGAATTTCCTTTTTTGTCTGCACGAGTACCTGTCTGTTGAAGCCAAAATATTGCACAGCATCTCCTATAAATTCTATCGCCATTTACCCTCTCCCCTTAAATGCAAAGGAATGACAGCCGAAAAGGTTTAGCAAAGTATTTTTTATTATATCTGGTATAAAGTGTCCTACGTTTTATCAGGGATATACATAATTCATAAACTGTATATGCACACGAAGTCTCGCTTATATTAATGAGTTTTACTGTAACAACCCTTTAAAGTTTCCATTGATAGATAGGTTGTTTGCCTCCAGTATTGTTTGGTAAAACAGACTAAACTTCTAAAATGTCGATTACAGTATACGATAAAGATTAAAGTTGATTTAAATATTGATAACTCACAGCGGCATTAATCCATTATACAAGTCTAAAGAAGCTGGATTATTCTTCAATAAAGCCCTCAATGGACAATGCCAATGTCAATGAAAGGTCTAATATTATACATGTTGCAAATTACTGTATATACAAAATATGAAATAATTTTATAAAGTACAATACCAGTGTCTGGTGCATATATCGTCCTAGATATTCAAGTTGTACCGCACGCACGGAAACGCACGGAGGAGTCTTGGCGTTTGTGTGATAACAGATAGCTAGCTACACTTCGACATTATCTTTCTTGATCGTTGAGTTTCAGCAATGTAAATGAAATGAATTTTATAGCCAGTCCATAACGGGTTTTAATCCTGTGCTTTTACAGTCAGAATAGTACTATTGTTTACACATGTTGGCGTTGTTTGGGAAGTCAAAGACAAAGGATCCCGTTATAAAATAAATCTTTTGTTTTGAATATCGGACCGGATACACTTCAACTATAAAGAACCAAATCGTTCGTTTAATACCGTTTGATCGACCAGTGTGTGTAGAAGATATGTATGTTTCTACGGCGATACGTGCTAAACTTCGCAAGCCAGGCGCGTGTGGAGTGTTTTCCTTGCAAGTGAAATATGATCCAGCTTCTCGCTTGAAATGTAACGCAACACTTATTATTGATGACATTCAGGATAGCAGGAAGTCTTGTCATGATCGATATGAATTTAGAACAGTTCCTTTCACAATCTCTTGTTGCAAATTACATTTTTATCACCCGAAATTATAACACATAAAGTTGCAATTTTCCAAACGTAACAAACAGACTACTCTACTACCCCTCCCTGAGATCAAATTCAATTTACCCCCAAAATCTGGGGGTTCACGTGACCAGCTCCGACCAGGGTCTTTGCTTCCCAAGAGCAAAGAGCCTGGGAACGAGGTTGACATATGGGTTGTCTTTGAATATCTAACTGTTCATAAGTATTGAATCTCATTAACATTAATATTTAACAGCTAGGACACGTGGAATTTTTTATTTGATTGTTTCCGGTTACGCATGTATGCCAGTTCTGTTCTTGACAAAAATTTCCGAGTAGCTTCAAATTCAATTCTTCATATTTCTATCAACTTGCTAAACTACGAACTACTGAGTAACTGTGCATGGTGACAAAGGCGACAAGCAACTAAATAATATAAACGATATAAAATGTATATACACGAACGTTTGAATTGCTGAAACATAATATTATGTCTTGCAGTTCGAAACCATTAAAATTTACTATTGGGCGTCATGCAGCATTGCTAAGAAGAATGGAAAGGAATGGTGAACGTTCATCACTTCATGAGGCCTCGATAGACCAGCATTTCTCATTTTGGGCTAATTCCTGTAAAATTGTCGATCGTTGCCAAAATCCAGAGTTCGATGGACAATGCATTTGTGTAATATTTTGCATACAATCGATCGTAAAACGTACGCATTTAAATGCAGAAATTTAAGCAAGCTAAAATCCCGTGCGCAAGCAACCTGCTCTTGTTGATCGCGAATTCTGAATTAAAAGTTCATTTAGGTCGCTTTCAATTTCTGAACCGCAATATTTTTGGCATTTAAACTCATTTAAGGTACTCGTAATATAATTTATTACAATTATTGCAGAAACTAAGATAGTCAGCAGTTGTTTAAGATTTTAGTTTAATTTCCAGGAATTAAATTTATTAAAGACCGATGTCTCGACGCTAATTTTATCATTAAAATAAACAAAAAAATAGATAAGAAAGAACAGCTGCTGGCTTTATTATGAAGCATAGAATTGTCTTGTGATGTCTGCAACTGTTGCTTCCTTGCAAATTGAATTTGATTTGTGTAAACCCTTGCAGCAACCTCTTACCCAGGGTCTTAGCGAAGGTAAGAGCCTGGGTACGAGGTTGCCCTTGCAGTTGTTCTTATCTTTAAAATGTGATGTT